CCAGCTTGGACCTGATTTGTACTCCCTCAATTTCCCTTTCCCCATGAACCAAACAAAAATCACCTCAGCCTACATTTATACAGACCTAAGGATGAGCCAGGCACCACTCCAAACCCTCACAACCCTATCATCATCCAATTTCACAGACAGGGAAACTGAGGCATAGAGAAGTTAAGGAAACTGCCCATGGCCAGGATTTGAGCCCAGGCAAGCTGGACCCCAAGTCTTCACTCCCAGCTGCTGTGCATGTATCCCATATATCTGTGACACAACTCAGGAGGGTGGTCTACATCAGTGCTTCTCAGAGCGTAGTCCCTAAGTTGGTAGAAATGCAAATTCTCAGGCCCCACGAGAGACTACTGGATCAGCAATTCTGGGGGCCTGGGATGGGACCCAGCAATCTGCCTTTAACAAGATCTCTGGGTAATTCTGATGCTTGTTCAAGTTTGAGGACCACTGCTCTAAATGATCTCTAAGGTTCTTCCAAAGCTGAGCTAAGGAGGGAAGGGGGCAAAGGGCAGAGAAGTAGGAGATAAAACAGATCAATAAAGGGAGAAATAGACATGGTGGGAACACATTTCATAGACACACAGATATCTACCATGATGGGGACATTCTGCTCCAAGAAAAGCAGCCATGGGGGTCCCATGGACAAGCAGGAGTCTGAGAGGGGGCCAGAGGCAGAAAGCAAGCAGGACAGGAGAGCCAAGTATGCACAGATTAGGCCTCCCTTGAAACCTGGCTGATCTCACCACCCCCAACCTCTCTCGGTGCTGCCTTCACGGCTCTTGACACTTTCCACCCCAGGATGAAGGTTGTCAGTCATGTTAGTGAAAGCAAAAGCATCCCTGAGTGGGAAGCATGCTGGGGACCATTTCACCCAGCAGGACCACTTCTAAAGCAGAGGGTGACGGTCGTTCCACCACCAACCAGAAGTGCCCTGTGGAAAGACAGAACAAAAACTACATGTTCCCTAAGAGAAGTAAGCCAGGCTGACCAGAGAAGGGGTAACAGCTCCTCATGAGGGATTCCAACCCCTGGGACTTCCTGAGTGGGTGGCAGGAACCGCAAGTACAAGAGGTTGACGCTCGATGAAGGGACTTTGACAATGGGAGAGAGAACAGGAGGACACAAAGGATAGATCCTCCCCGTCTCCCTCCCGAAGGACAGTTCTGAGTCCATACAGCCTCCCTGGGGCAGTCCACAGGACCAACCAGGTCGTGATCTCAGGGTCGTGAGATCGAGCCTCGCATCAGGCTCTGTGCTAGGTATGGAGTCTGCTTGGATTCTCTCTCTCCCTCTTCCTCCCCCCAACCTCTAAAAAATAAAAATCTAAAAATTAAAAAAAAAAAGTGTATCAAGAACACTGAGCTGGGAGTCTAGATATAAAGTGTAGTCAAATCACTAATCAGTCATGGAAAGCATAATGGTCATATAATCAGAAAATGGTCTCTTGCTGTCGTCGGCTGAAAGTGGAAAATAAAGTGCCTGCGCGTGTGACCCAGGCTTAGGAAGAAAGGCCAGAGTTGTGGGGAGGCAGGATCTAGCCCAGACACAGAGAGGCAAGGGCCAGGAGGGATCCAATAGCACGTGGGTTGGATTAGTATGGAATCTAATGGGTGGTGAGCCAAGAGTCGTGCAAATCTGAATGTAAGCAATATAAAAGTGAGTTTCAAGCAAATGCTGACAATAGGTTCTGATGCATATAACGGAAGATTGTCAAGAGCAACTTTTTCACAACTCTGGAAATTAACCAAAGACTTGCAACAATTCAAGGAGATTTCTTCAAGAAAAATGACTGAATCTCGGTAAGAAATGTGAGCTTTAGAGCATTTTCCCTTGGTCCCTAGACCCTTCCTCTTCCCAATGGGGCAGTGGGGGCATGGAGCTCCCCTCAAAGCCCCATTCCCAGACACTGTCCCATCTGGAAGTTCCCTAGAAATCCCAGTGGCACACTTGACAAAGAACAGAGCCTACACGCTTAGTTCAAGGAAGTCAGCAAACAAACACACCCAGCTGCTGCCAATAGAACCTGGGAGATGCGATTTCCAGAGCCCCCACAGCATAGTATTTGGTATGTCCAGTTTTCGGCAAAAAAGTAGAGGTGGGGGTGCCTGGGTGGCTCAGTCGTTAAGCATCTGCCTTCGGCTCAGGTCATGATCCCAGGGTCCTGGGATCGAGCCCCGCCTCGGGCTCCCTGCTCAGCGGGAAGCCTGCTTCTCCCTCTCCCACTCCCCCTGCTTGTGTTCCCTCTCTCGCTGTGTCTCTCTCTGTCAAATAAATAAATGAAATCTTTAAAAAAAAAGTTATTAGACGTGTAAAGACAGGAAATATGGCCCTCAGGGAAAAAAAAAGTCAGAAATTGCCCCTGAGGAAGCCCAGATGTTGAACTTACGAAATAAAGATGTTAACTCGGCTGTTATAAATATATCCAAGAGCTAAAGGAGGGGCACCTGGGTGGCACAGTTAGTTGAGCGTCTCTTAATTTCGGCTCAGGTCATGATCTCAGGGTCGTGGGATCAAGCCCCGTGTCGGGCTCCACGCCCAACATGGAGTCTGCTTGAGATTCTCTCTCTCCCCTTCTGCTCCTCTGCTTTCTCTCTCTCTCAAAATAAATAAATAAAATCTTAAAAAAAAACAAAGAGCTAAAGGAGGCCACATCTGGAGAATGATAGGAAGGCATGAGAACCATGTCACACCAGATAGATGATATCGATCAAGAAATGGGGATTAATATATATCAGTACAGTACAGTAACTGCCATGAAAAATGGGTCAGTGGGGCTCAGGTCTGAAGACAGGTCAGTTGAGATCACTCAGGCTGAGGAAGAGAAAGCTCTCCGTCAACTCAGGTGCTTCGACAAAGACCGCAGGCTGGTGGCTCGAGCAACAGATAATGATTTCCCACAGTTCTGAAGCCTGAAAGTCCCAGATCAGGGTGCCCACATGGTCGGGTTCTTGGTGAGAGGTCTCTTCCTAATTACAGACAGCTGTTTTCTTGCTGTGTCCTCACAGGGCAGAGAGAGCTCTGGTCCCTTCATCCCCTTATAAGGACACCAATCCCATCATGGGGCTCCACTCCCATGGCCTCATCTAAACCCAATTACCTCCCAAAGGCCCCATCTCCAAACACGGATGATTAGGGCTTTAATATCTGAATTAGGGGACCTGGGGGAGACACATTCAGTTCACTGAAGAAAGAAAAGAGAATTTTTTAAATGAATAGAGCCTCAGAGATCTGTGGGACACCCTCAAGTGGACAAACAGACACATACTGGAAGTCCCTGAAGGTATTTTATGCCGCAGGACATTTGCACCTACTGTTCCTCTGCCTGAGTTGTTCTCCTTTACATAGTGTCAGCACGGATCCCTCACTTCCCTCTTCCAGATCTCTGCTCAGATTTCACCTCAACACTGAGACTTTTCCTGAGCTCCTCATATGAAACAGCAACTCCCTATCCCTCCTCACCACCCACGGGTATTTCTTATATTTTTTGAGATTTATTTTTTATTTATTTGACAGAGAGCGGGGAGAGAGAGAGAGAGAGAGCACATGAGTAGGGGGGAGGGGCAAAAGGGAAAGGGACAAGCCGGGAGCCCAACGCAGGACTCGATCCCAGGACCCCGAGATCATGACCTGAGCCAAAGGCAGATGCTTAACCGACTGAGCCACCCAGGCGCCCCGACCCACAGGTACTTCAAATTCTCCTACACTACTTTGTTTTTCTCCATGGCCATCACTTATGTGATATTCTGTGTATCTACTTGTTTATTGGGTCATGGTCCTCTCCCCCAACAGAAGGTCAGTTCTAGGAAGGCTGAGAGTTTGCTGCTTGGCCCACTGTCTCACTGCCAGTCGCGCACCCAACAGATGTGCACCAGATATTTTCTGGATGAATGAACCCTGTCAGCCATAAAAACGTCTATCTGCTTTGATCCAGCAAACTCACTCCTGGGAATTTAAGCAAGTAATTCAAGAGAAAAGTTACATGAATGCAAATGGTCGTTGCCACCAAATTGTGTTTGTCAAACCTCATTTTACCAACCACATAGGGAAAGCTAATTATCAAAAATCAGCATATGGAGTCAGGTTTTTAGGGAAGGTTCCTTGGAAGAGAGAGTTTTGAGCAGAGTCTTGAAGAGGCAGGTTTGGTGAAGCCGAAGAAAGACCCGGGGGAGCAACGTGTCTGACAAAAGGAACAAAATCCAGAAGATATTGGTCAGTCATCTGCATCGGGGGTCCCAGAGGGAGTGGAGTTACAGGACCAGAGAGAAGCTGCTGGGTGAGAGAGCCCACCTGAAGTTCAGCGTAAACATGACTGAGCGCTTCTCTCAATAAATACTGGAGAATCTCAAAATATTATAAATGTAAAGTTTGCATCTTACCACAACTGTTTTAAAATACCTGCAAATGTGTAGAATATCTAAGATGTGCTCTTCCAGATCAGGAAAGCCATTCTGCACTTCTGGCAGATCCTGTCAAACACACGCTTACCTGGGTTTCTGACACAGAACCCATGCGGATAAGCAAGGGCGGGCTTCCCCACCTGCCGAACACCTCCGCACCTATTAAGGGTCCCATGTCAGATCTTTTGGGGTTTGTCAGTGTGTTTGCAACTCTGTCAGAAAAGATTTGAGAGCAATCTCAACAGAAAGAACAAAAAGCCGTTCCTCTAGGTGAGAAAAGCCCTTTGACAGGAAAATTCCAACAAAAATATTTGAGCACATAAATAACAACAACATTCCCCAGGGCATTGGCTAAGTTGATCGAAGGACATTTAAGGGCCTCTGTCTTAATGGGTGAGCAAATTATTTAGGTGCACGTAAATCAGCGCAGTCACGTGAACATACACGCACCCATAGGTTCCCTCGGTGCATGTCTGTGGGCACCTGTGTCGAATCAGGTCTCAGACCGCGTGGTCTGCTGGAGCCCACAAGAGCAGCTTCTGTGCTCAGCAGGTCTAGAGACGATAAAAGTTGTACAGGTCCCAAATCCCTTACCTGAAATTCTTGGGTGCTCTGTAATTCAGAATGTTTCAGATTTCCAAAAAAACACTGGCGCAGACCTTATATTTATAGCAGTCCAGTGAAGTCCCCAGCAGTACCCTGTAATCAAGCACATTAGCATTTCCATAGCAAAACATAAATATTCACACTAAGGGAGATAAATGAAGCTATACGTAAGCCCGAGTGCAGGTCAAGGATTTGCCACCAAACGAGCTTGCTGCAATGTTATGGAACACTTCCTTTAAAACACAGAGCTTTCAAAAATAAAAATAAAATCCAGAGCTTCCTGGACTTGAGGATTGTGAGTAAGGGGTGATGGATTGTGGAAACGAGCTGTTTCCAGAAAGGCTTGAAACTACTGGAGACAATGCGTGTGATGCAGCAGATTGGGGATCACAGGACCTCAGTCAGATGCTCAGGCTCTCAGCCTCAGACTCCACACGACATTCACACACAACACACGTGTGATCAACCAAGGCAAAGAAACATCTGTGGTCGTGATCACCGGGAGGACCTAGGGTTTGCTGAGAATCGAACTGGAGAGAACAGGGGGTTGTGGCCGCAGGATTTGGGGAGAAGTTCAGGACCTGCTCAGGAGGGAGGCAGGTGGAGAGCAGCGGCGGATCTCAGTCTGAGAGAGGACCCAGAGCAAGACCAGAAGCCAGTTTTTGTGCAGTTTTGCTTTAGAGTTTGCAATTTCAGACCTTTCCTGCCTCCCCACAAAACCACCCGCCAACTCTCTACATCTCACTTATCTGTGACAGCGTTAGATTTAACGCTGGGATGCATTGAACTGCTCAGATCCACCTCAGGGTGAGTGTGAGCCAAGGTCAGAGTTTTCCAGCCAACACCCAGGACACACCCACCCACCATCTGCACCCCAGGTCAGTGACCACAGTCTACAGCTCAGTCTGACATCCACGACAGGAGCCCCTGGCTGCAGGAATGGTTTGCAAATACACTTGGCAACGAGAGGGTGTGGTCTTGCTTCCAGGCGTAGGGATATCTAAATGAGTTTACCGACAAGGACACACAGGAAGCTAGGCTGTGTGGTTTAAGTGAGGCTAGTAACAGCAGTTACTGGGTAGCGGCTTCTGCGTGCTTTACAAAGATTAACTCGCTAATCCTCACAACAGTCCCTCCAGGTGGGTGCTGTTAATACTTCCATTTTACAGATGACAAAACTGAGAGGTAGAGAAGTTGAATGACTTGGAGAGGTGAGTGCTGGGATTTACACTCCGGCCCCCATGCTATTTACAAATACGCTAAACATGGTTCAAAGACCTCCATTCATGCACTTTGCAGCCCAAAGCTTCTTCTGGGCTTGCTGCCTGCCTACCGATGGATGACGGAGATAAAGGATTATGAAAGACTAGTGGATTTTCAAAAATATTCAACAAAGAAAACAGTCCAATTAATGTCTTCTGCCTCTTCTCAGCAAACCCAAAATTATGACATCCAAGTGACTCGGGATAGTCTCCATTTGCCAGTCTTCAGAGTCTAACGGCAGGGGAGTCCCTGAGTCCCTGTTCAGCACAAGCCTGGCCTCCTTTGCCATTCCCTGGACCGTCCTTCAAATTCTACAGCCTTTGCCGATTCTGTGCACGGTAGCGAAGGTGCTCCAGACCAAGCTCCTTGCAGAGATGCCAACAACACACTCACCGCACTGAGCTCCCTAAGAAACCAAACGCTGGGTGCTATGAGTGATCCCAAGCCGAACTGGCCATTCACGTCTGATTGGACCCTTTTGGGTTGATTTTGCAGCACCAATATTTGTAGTTGAGGATTTCCTACACCCCCTTCCCACACGTACACACATGCGTGCACAGCCATAACCTCCCTACCCAAGAATAACAAAGCCAGTCTCAGACAAATTCTGCTTCTCCTACAGCCAATGATCATCAAGCAGGGGCAAATAGCCTGCCACAACCTTGTGCGTAAACGCCATGATATCCCAGCGACCTGCTTTTTAGGTGATTAGAAGACACTGTATGAACGTCTCTCCTGAGGCTGCACCTCGGCAGGATCCAGCTAAGCATATCAGTGCGGGTGGGAAGTCTGGCGCCCAAGGGCGGACCCAAGACTGTTGGGGGGTCAAGTCTGGGCCCCAGGTCATGGCCAAGGGAGAATGGCCTGCTTAAGTCTAGTGAAAGCAGGGCAGTCTTCCTCGGCACACCCTCCCAAGAGGCAGGTGCCCTGTGACAGCCTGGGGCAGGGGTGGAAGCCGGGCTTGCCACCTGACTCAGCCTCCTTCAGACCCTGGGATTCCTGGTAGAGCATTTAAGCTTGCGGCAGCCTCAGTTTCCCTGACAGTAAAATGGGGGCCCACTGCTTACCCTCCAGGCCACCATGAGGACATAATGAGATAATGCACAGTACGTGAAACAGCACCTCCAGCAAAAGCTCAGTGTGAACGTTAGTGACTCTGATTACCCAACACGCTCTAGTCCTTGCCTCAGGGCAGAGTTTCTTAACCTCAGCACGGCCGACTCTGGGGACCCAGTAATTCACTGCCGTGGGGGCTGTCCTGCATGTTGTAGGATGTTGAGCAGCATCCCTGGCCTCTACCCTCTAGATGCCAGTAACACTCTCGTCCCAGTTACAACAACCAAACATGTCTCCAGACTTGGTAAGTGTCCCAGAGAAGGGGAAGGGAAATGCCCCCTGCTAATCCCTTAAGAACCACTGCCTCACAAAAACAGACACATAGATCAATGGAACAGAACAGAGAGCCCAGGAATGGACCCTCAACTCTATGGTCAACTAATCTTCAACAAAGCAGGAAAGAATATCCAACGGAAAATTCTCTTCAGTAAATGGTGCTGGGATAATTGGACAGCCACTTGCAGAAGAATGAAACTGGGCCATTCTCTTACACCATACACAAGAATAGACTCAAAATGGATGAAAAACCTAAATGTGAGAAAGGAATCCATCAAAATCCTAGAGAAGAACACAGGCAGTAACCTCTTTGACCTCGGCCACAGCAACTTCCTGCAAGACACATCTCTAAAGGCAAGGGAAACAAAAGCGAAAATGAACTATTGGGACTTCATCAAGATAAAAAGCTTCTGCACAGCAAAAGAGACAGTTAACAAAACTAAATGGCAACCTACGGAATGGAGAAGATATTTGCAAATGACATAACAGATAAACGGCTGGTATCCAAGATCTATAAAGAACATATCAAACTCAACACCCAAAAAACAAATAATCTGGTCAAGAATTGGGCAGAAGACATGAACAGACATTTCTGTTCCCATATCCATGGGATATCATGGCCAAAAGACACATGAAAAGATGCTCAACATCACTCAGCATCAGAGAAATACAAATCAAAACCACAATGAGATACCACCCCACACCTGTCAGAATGGCTAAAATTAACAACACAAGAAACAACAGGTATTAGTGAGGATGCAGAGAAAGGGGAACCCTCTTGTAGTGTTGGTGGGAATGCAAGCTGGTACAGCCACTCTGGAAAACAGTATGGAGGTTCCTCAAGATGTTAAAAATAGAGCTACCATACGACCCAGCAATTGCACTACTGCGTATTTACCCCAAAGATACAGATGTGAAAAGAAGGGGCACCTGCACCCCAATGTTCATAGCAGCAATGTCCTCAATAGCCAAATTGTGGAAGGAGCCCAGATGTCCTTCAACAGATGAACAGATAAAGAAGATGTGGTTCATATATACAATGGAATATTATGCAGCCATCAGAAAGGATGAATACCTACCATCTGCATCGACATGGATGGAGCTAGAGGATATTACGCTAAGTGAAATAAGTCAATCAGGGAAACAATTACCATATGGTTTCATTCATATGTGGAACATAAGGAATAGTGCAGAGGACCATAGGGGAAGGGAGGGAAAACTAAATGGGAAAAAAATCAGAGAGGGAGACAAACCATGAGAGACTCTGGACTCCGGGAAACAAACTGAGGGTTGCTGGAGGGGAGGTGGGGTGGGGGGATGGGGTAACCGGATGATGGGTATTAAGGAGGGCATGTGATCTGATGAGCACTGGGTATTACACAACTAATGAATCATTGAACACTACATCAAAAACTAATGACATACTGTATGTTGGCTAACTGAACTTAAAAAAAAAAACACCACTACCTCAAGGGACAGAAACCTCACAGCCAAATGCAGTTGTGGACCACCACTCCTGGGGACAATGTGGCGCACAAGAGCAGAGAGCGGTGGGGAAGAAGGAAAACCTACCATGCCCGAAAAGTGGGACATTTGAGAGCAACTGGACTTGCTGAATGTGCAGGTCCTCATACTGTACTTGCCCCACTCAACTTGTACCTTCCGATGTATAACGATGGTATGGTGTTGAGTTTACATCAATACAGATTTCTGTCATTAATCTGTTATATCAAAGAGAAGGTAAACTATTTGTCTATGAAAGGAACACACTGTATTTATTATCACCTGTTCAAGACAATGGAAATGCACAGCTGTTGGCCAGGTGCTTAGGTGTGGGGCGGGGTGGACAGGTCCAGAGAGGGCACTAACGATTGCCTTGGGAGGAAACGGGCCAGCGTTCCCATCCAAAATCAAATCAACCTCTGTGTGAATACCATCCACTTTCTTTTTTTTTTTTTAAGATTGTATTTATTTGTCAGAGAGAGAGAGCGTGTGCGTGCACAAGAGGGGGAGCAGCAGGCAGAGGGGCAGAGGGAGAAGCAGGGAGCCCGATGCAGGACTCGATCCCAGGACCCTGGAATCATGACCTGAGCCGAAAGCAGACGCTTCACCAACGAAGCCACCCAGGCGTCCCTACCATCCACTTTCTAAAGCGACAGTTCTGGTCAGGCAGATAACGATAAAAGGGTATGGAAGAGAGATGCAAAAAACAAAAGGGGAAGAAGGGCACCTGGGTGGTTCAGTCGGTTAAGCATCCAACTTTTAGTTTCAGCTCAGGTCACGATCTCAGGGTCCTAGGATCGAGCCCCGTGTCAGGCTCTGTGCTCAGCAGGGAGTCTGCTTGAGATTCTCTCTTTCCCTCTCCTTCTGCCCTTCCCCTCCACATCCCCCCCCCCCACACACACACTCTCTCTCTCACTCTAAAATAAATAAATAAA